CAATTTGTACATCTTCTTGCTTGGTCTTTGGCCTTTTCTACTAGAGTCATTGTATTAAGTTCAGCTTTTGAATTGTCCAGCTGGCGTTTAGGTGAGTTAATTGCTGCTTTGTTGGCGTCTGAAATTTTGCCCATACTGGGCTTTTCTGCAGGCTTTTGTTTGGTACTAGCTGACAACTAACACGACTCACTTACATATTTCAGATAAATTAATGCATTTTGTAACTGTCTTTTTTTTGCCTAACAGCACACAAATGTTAGCCTCTTTAAACATTATTTTTATATCTTCATTAACACGAATGCATCTCAAACTTTCAATAGTATCAAATCCATTTTGCCTAAATACTGACGAAAACGATTGAAATTCTTGACCAATTTGTATCAAGAACTCTTCAACACTTAATCCATCCATTATCAATTGAAACATTAGAATGAAGCACACAAAAAGTCATGTGACAAATGAGTTAACAAAAGAGAAGTCACATAGTAACTCAGGTAACAGAAAAGTCGAATGTGGGGCTAACTGCATGCTATTCATGTTCTACACTTACCTATTTTGAAAGTATGAATGGCATATCTATACATTTGTCTGGGGCCATATGCAGGTTACTCAAATCAGATTCTACTAACATTTTATAAAAGACAAAATATTTCAAATTTAAATCATATATTAAATTGATATTTATTTCCAAATCTCATGAAGAAAAAAAATAAACATATAGTAACATTACAATTTCAATCCACTAACGATGTTTTCAGCATCAGCTCTTTCAGCTGCTTTTACTCCTAGAAGATGAGTTTGAATAATACCTTGAGAACATGATCTGGCAAACCACATTTCCTGTCCAAGAACAGCTTTATCAGTAGATCCATCACCTATGACAGTTATAAATTTGGCCTGTGACAAGACTTTTTCTATATTTTTAAACTGAACTTCTGCCATTGACTTTACGAATGCTTTGGCTGAATTAGTGTTGCGTTACGTTTCACCGATACTTAATCCTTTCATCTCACCAACCTCACATGACCAAATAAAATCAGTAATCGGACGATCATGTAAAACAATTGAGTGGCATGTGCGAAACATTTTATCAAGCTTGTTGTATATATCTTTGTTTAGGCTTGAAATTATTTTTCTTGCATCAGATTGCTCAACTGGTTGGCCTTATTAATTTCTATTTCTGCAGCTTTTTTGTGTAGTTTAGAGGCCTCATGCTTGACAATGCTATCCAGTTTATACGACTTGCAACCAATTGTAAAAAATTATCATAACCCTGGGTAGAATAGTAAGCGCAGATCATACCATTTTCAATCGAGTCGGACAACCATGGCCTTTCTTGTTGCCATTCCTTTTGAAATTGTCTCGACCTTTTAGAGACATCGTAACTTTTGTAATATTTTGTTCTGTCTTGTTCGCCTTTCCTTTTCGGCGGTGCGGGGTTGGTAAAGAAAGAACTCAAATTGGTCTGGCGAGACATTTCACTGACCGGATATTATGATTGCAGTATCATAATTGCAAAATCGGGAGAAGGGTGTAAAATTTCCGTACGAGAAAAAACAACAGGGACAGAAAAATTTTCATCTTTAGATCAATCACTGCTTAACTTTATTCATCATTTTATTAAAAATAGAATAATCACAAAAGTTTAATTACGCAAGGTGAAGTATTAAAATTGAAAATCATGCCATACTTCCGTTTTGTGTCAGTCGGCTGTTCCGATTAACTGGTTAAATGGAACAGCCGAAGGACACCAAACGGAAGTGCACCGAATACAGGAGTACTATTTCCATATCAAGAAGCAGAAGCATGCGCAAAATTTTAGTGAACAAAGAAATATATTGTTAAAATTTATGTTTTTTTAAATTTTATTTACACTGAAAAATTGGGCGACGAAATTGGATTTTTATATTGGCCCACACTGGAATTTGATATTCACTCGTCAAGTGGGCGACAGAGATGTAATTTTTATTGGCCCACACAGATATTTACTTGCCAATGGCGAGTGGGCGACCGCTAATTTCAAACCTTTCTTTAAGACTTTCAACATTAAATCAAGTATTGTCAGTAAGGTAGGCGAGACATTTCAGCATGTGTACTATTTTTTTTTTTTTGCTTTACAGTTTTCAAAGTACAAACTGAATCAGCCACAAGTTCTTTATCTGTCATTTACAATTGCCGCATCGTGCCAAACTTTGTTGACTTCTGTCAGGATTAAATACCGGGGTTTGTTTATTAAATAATACCTCATATTTGACCATATATTGTTTTCATCGGAATTTGTTTGCTTTACAATTTTATTGTGAGTTTAGGTTGTCAATATCGGCGTCAGTTTCTACAGAACTAGTTGAAAACAGTTGCTTATCAATGTTTTTAAACATTCGATAAGTTCTGCAGAACATTCTACATTTGTATGATTAAGATTTGACAAATCATGATGCAAATATGTAGATGAACTTTTTCTTTTACTGTATAATGAATTCATTTTTGTCGAGCCTCCGACTTTAGTCTCAAAAGCGAGACATAGCGATACTACATTCCGTCGTCGGCGGCGTCCACAAATATTCACTCTGTGGTTAAAGTTTTTGAAAATAATAACTTTCTGAAACTTTCCTGGATTTCTACCAAACTTGGACAGAAGCTTGTTTATGATGATAAGATAGTATCCAGAAGTAAATTTAAAAAAAAAAATGTTAATCCGTATTTTACTTATAAAGGGACTTAGTTTTCTGCCAGTTAACATTACATTCACTGTGTGGTTAAAGTTTTTAAAATTTTAATAGCTTTCTTTAAAAATCCTGGATTTCTACCAAACTTGGACAGAAGCTTGTTTATGATCATAAGATAGTATCCAGAAGTAAATTTTGTAAAAAAAAATCCTGTTTTTCCGTATATATCTTATAAATGGACTTAGTTTTTCTTCCATTTAACATTACATACAATCTGCAGTTAAAGCTTCTTTTAAACATTTATTAGATTCATAAACCATCCTGGATTTTTACCAAACTTGGACAGAAGCTTCTTACATACAAAAGATAGTATCTAGAGGAAAATTTTTAATAATTATTTCCCAATTTTTGTTGAGCCTTGGACTTTTGTCGCAAAAGGGAGACATAGCGATCCTACATTCCGTCGTCGTAGACAACAGCAAAAATAGACGAGATACTGTGTTCCGCGGAACCCTAACGAATTTTTTAAATGGAATTATTTCAAAACATTTCTAGAAAATATTCAAACAATTGTGATTTAAGTAACTAACTTTTTGTCTTATAGACTTTGTGACCTTCTGTCTGTTTACGGAATCAAATATATCCAGTTATCTTTCAATTAACCATTTGTCAGAATGATTATTAATGAGTGTGACAGCATAATTAATAATTTAGATGACAACACATCTCTACACTCTGCCCCAGGGGCATTATGTTTTTCGGACTCTGCGTCCATTCGTTCGTTCGTCCGTCCGTTTGTCCGTCCCTCCGTCTGTCCCGCTTCAGGTTAAAGTTTTCGGTTAAAGTTTTTGGTCAAGGTAATTTTTGATGAAGTTGAAGTCCAATCAACTTGAAACTAAGTACACATGTTTCCCATGATATGATCTTTCTAATTGTAATGCCAAATTAGAGTTTTGACCCCAATTTCACGGTCCACTTAACATAGGAAATGATAGTGCGAGTGGTGCATCCGTGTACTATGGACACATTCTTGTTTATGAATGAGTCACGAATGACCAGTGTGCAACTTGCTGTCATTGAACAATCGGTTCTTACTGTGACGTAATAACATGCGTATTCTCACATAGAAAATGTACAGGAAATTGCACGAATTTAAAAGCCGCCTATGCTTATAAAGCTTATTTATTTTTATAGTAAAAAATTCAATTAGTAGTACCTAAAATAATAAGATATGAAAGGATGAATATGAAATGTATAATTTGATTCAGTAATAAATTATAAAATATCATAAAAATGTTAGAACTGAATGGTACACTAGTTGGGTTAACTGAGATAAATTTATTGAGTATTTAATTAGCATTTGATATTAAATAAATATTTTCATTCATTTCATCTAATGATTTTTTTCTGCACAGTAAAGCATTGCGCACTTCTTAGTAACTATAAACAAAAGCAACATTTCTGTGATATTATGGTAAATACTATTTGATTCAGCAATCCTGTTAAAATTATAGACCGGCTTTTGTATATTGGGAGAAAATTAAGTCATTTTTTTTCAAACTTTTTGCAGCCTGTATTTTAACTCAATGGAATACCGGCAACGATTTGGTCCTTTTCCAATATAATCTTTCTTTTTATCAAATTTATTTGATTATCAATTGACTTTAAAAATCATACAAAGGTTTTAAATCGGGTTCTTTACTTTTGGAAACATTTTAGTTTAAAATTCTACGTCTCCATTTCTATACAAGGAGTCTTCCGGCCACGATTTCCTTCAGAAATAATATTTAAGTATTGAACAAGTTGTATATTTTATCGTGATTTTAAGTTCAAAGTGGCAAAACCAGCTTGACACATTCTGGTTGAACAAGGCTTCCTGCCAACTTTTGGGGGAACTGAGGTGGAACTGTGATTTAATTGATTTTAGAAAATCAGGAAAATCAGGCCAGTGGATCCCATGTGGATCATTGGCACAAAGTTTAAAGTTTTATTTGTGTTATCGTGTCACAGCATCTTGACTTAAAGACTTTGAGGGATCACGAATGTTGTCTTGGTTCGTCTTCAATCTCACTGTTTATTCCCTTGTATCTTCTTTCAAAGCGCTTACCAGAATTCCAATAATCTTGCACATATTTGTGTACAGGACATGACGTTGTGGACTTGTTATTTAAAATTTTGACTTTCCCGTGTACCAAACGATGGTATATGTTATGTATGCATATATAATTTGCAAAAGGCAGTACATTTTCCTCCTTAGATTCACATGTTTTTAAATTAATCATAAGTTATGTTCATATCTATTTTAATATAAGTATATTATTTAATTTATTGCAGATGAATTAAAACAAATGTTTGAAAAAGCTGGACTAGTAGAGAAACAGAATTTAATTGACAGACGTTTACAAGTGAACAGAGGAAAACAGTTAAAAATGTACAGAGTTTGGATACAATGTAAATATGTAAAACCTTGCTGATTTACGAATTAAATTTTGTCATATTTGTTTTTCTTTTATTGAATAGTCAGAAATGAAACTTTTTGTTTTTTCTGCATTTGTTTTATATTTTGTCATGTCGTGCCCTTTAAGACTTACGTGGTTTAGTATTGCTGGAGCCTGAAATATAATTATACTTACTAATGAAAATGTAAATATTAATCAGATATTGTACTTGTAACCTGTACAGTTCACAAATTCGGCTAAGATTGTTAATAGAATCAATACATCTTGAAAATAGTTTTATATATCTTGAAAACTTTTTTATCATTCTGAATAAAATGTAATCTTCATGATATTTCAGAAACATTATTCTTGTTGTAACAAGATATAAAGTAAGAAACAGTCCTGTGTTCATCCTGCAGATGCACACTCAATGACAGAAATATTTTTTGTCGCGCCTGCGACTTCTGTCGCAGAAAGCGAGACAATGGTATAGTGATCCGGCGGCGGGGGCGGCTGCCGGCGGCGTTAACAAACTTCTGAAAAGCTTAATATTTCAGAAGATAGAACACCTGGATCCTTCATACTTTGTATATAGATGCCTTATGGTATGAAGTTTCCGTCTCATATGTCCATTGTTCATTGACCTTGACCTCATTTTCATGGTTCAGTGACTACTTGAAATTTCTTTCTTATTATGAGTAATAGGATAACTATATTTGGTATGTGCATACCTTACAAGGTACTCATGCCTGTCAGACAGTTTTCGCTTGATCTCGACATCATTTGATGGATCAGTGAAGAAGTTTAAGTTTTCGTGGTCATGCCCATATCTCAGATACTATAAGCAATAGGTGTACTATATTTGGTGTATTGAATAATTATAAGGTGTACATATCCAACTGGCAGGTGTCATCTGACGACCTTATTTTCATGGTTCAGTGGTTTAAGTTGTTTTATTTTTTGTGTTTTGGTCTGTTTTTCTAATACTGTATGCAATAGATCAACTATATTTGGTATATGGAATGATTGTAAGGTGTATATGTCTGTCTGGCAGTTATCATCTGACCTTGACCTCATTTTCATGGTTCATTGATCAATGTTAAGTTTTCCTGGTTACGTTTGTTTCCTATATAATATGTGCAATAGGTCGACTATATTTGAAGCATAGAATGATTGTAAGGTGTACATGTCTGTCTGGCAGGGTTCATCTGACCTTGACCTCATTTTCATGATTCTTTGCTCAATATAAAGTTTTCATGGTTTGGTCTGTTTCTTGTATACTATAAGCAATAGGTCAACTATATTTGGTGTATGAAATGATTTTACGGTGTACATGTATTTCTAGCTTAGTTTATCTGACCTTGACCTCATTTTCTTTGATCATGTTAAGTTTATGTGATACTTGTATATTTTAATTTTATATTTAGGACTTTCAGCATAAAATCAATGGTCAGTAAAGCAGGCGAGACATTTCAGCGTGTGCACTCTTGTTGTTAACTTATATGCATTTTCAAAACAAACTTCTGTCTAATACTTATTATAATATAAACTTCTCGAAAATCTGATGCACGAGGCTAAAAAAATAAAAAATCCGAAATTTTATTTATTCGATAAAGACATTACTCCCCCGAAAAGGAACACAAGTATAACAAACATGGAATAAGAGTCGGAGTTGTACATATAGGAAGATACTACATTTATTTTAGATGAATTCTTAAGTTTATTGACCGTTGAGATTGGTTGAGGATAAAACTTGTCCAAAAAGGTAACATTTCAACTTTCAAATTGGATTAGGGTTAGGGTTAGGGTTAAAGGAAATACTGCTTACAAAGCAACTATTGAACCAAGGATTCTTAATGCTCAAGTTGTAGTCATCCCTCCGAAAGTTTTATGGACGCCATCACGAGTTGGTTGACCGTCATGGAATATATGGGTCTTAGATTTGCACAGGCATGCTCCAATTGTCGGAACAAGAATCCTGTTTTGTATACGACCGCAAAATTTTTTTGCGTCCGTATTATGTTATGGCGATGTCTGCGTTGGCGTCGGAAGACATTTTGATTCGCAGACAATAACTTGAGTATGAGTTTATAGATCTGTATGAAATTGGGTTTGGGTTAGGATTAGGGGGGTTTTGCTACCTTGCAACTGAGTTGCAACTAGGGGAGATAATTTCTTTTCAGTAGAGGCATAGCTGATTTTAATTCAACTTCTATCAAGATAATTAATCTAAGTGAATATTTTTAACGGCATGCGCCGGATGTTTAGTGGAATAACGGCACCTAGATTTTAATAGCTTCTTGACGTCATAGGACGTAAAATATTTGCTTGAAAATTACAAATTACATACATACATACATACATACATGCATACAAACATACAGCTATGCCTCTACTGAAAAAAAATTATCTCCCCTAGTTGCGACTCAGTTGCAAGGTAGCAAAACCCCCTTAATCCTAACCCTAACACTTACCCTAACCCCTAACCCTAAGGGTTAGAGTTAGGGTTAGGGGGACTTTGGCGAGATTTGTGCCCTTTTCCACTTCTGCGCATGTGTGCCCATTTTTGTGACTGCGCATGTGTGAGGGTTAGGGTTAGGGTTTTAAACCCTAACAGTAACCCTTGCGCATGCGCCTTTATCTTACCCTAACCCTTAGTTCCTTTGCGCATGCGCCGATATGTTTTGGATTCAAGGGCATTTTGCGTAAATATTCCCTTACCTCGAAGAATGACTGCGCATGCGTAGAGATACTCGGAAGTTTGACTGCGCATGCGCGGAAATGATTTAGTTCAACACTTGTACAGGGTATTTAAAGGATCAATTTCCAACTTAACATACGTAACTTAATTGGAATATATTTGGCATAAAACGCCGTCACTAAATTCAGTGGCAGGAATTGGTTGTACAACATTTTAATGTGGTCCACTAACCCTATGTTTGGGAAACAATAGCTATGCAAGTCTATTTACGGACATTTTAGACCGAAATATATGTCTGTGTGTCAAGAATATGACTGTTGTTTCCAGTCGTTGTGTTAGTTGATGTTTTTGAGCCTTTGGTTTTGCCAGTTGTTTATGGACTTTGCCCTGTTTTTGATTTTTCCTCGGAGGTATTTGAATCATCTTTTTTCGTTTGAGACATGAAGAGATACGAATTTCCGTTTTATTTATCAATAACTTATGACATTAATGAAATGGGTCTCCCATTCCATTGGTGGCATTGGGTTGTTTTGTACTGATCGGGTTGTTGTCTCTTTTATACCTTCTCCGTTTCGATTCTTAATTCTATTAGAGGTCTACATATTACTGCTATCAGAATAGTAATATCTGTTTTCAAAGACCCATATCATATATTTTTTGCTACTAAGGTTTTCATCTGTTCCTCCTATATTGCGTTGTTTTCTACTCGAGAAGATATTTAAAACTGGCGGCCGTCTTTCATCTCAAAATCAGCTTGGTATTACGTGAACTGGAATTGGGTATTAAAAAAGAGGGACGAAAGATACCAGAGGGACAGTCAAACTCATAGATCGATAATAAAATGACAACGCCATGGCCAAAAATAAAAAGACAAACAGACAAATAATAGTACAGATAACACAACATAGAAAACTAAAGACTAAGCAACACGAACCACACCAAAAACTGGGGGTGATCTCAGGTGCTCCGGAAGGGTAAGCAGATCCTGCTCCACATGTGGCACCCGTCGTGATGCTTATGTTATTACAAATCCGGTAAATAGTCTAATTCGGTAGGTCACATTCGTGAAAAGGGAAGGGTATTGTAGTAACGACATAAGGAACATATCCGATATTATCTGTGAAACGGTTATTCCATAACGGTCAACCAACTCGTGATGGCGTCCTTAAAATTTACGAAGGGATGAATTCAACTTCACATTTGGAACTCTTGGTTTAATGGCTTTCTTGTGAGCAGCAATCCTCTATCAAGGAAATCATGATAGGAAATACAAGCCCGGATATATCGTATCAATTGGGAGATATATACTCCGTATGCAGGCGCTGCTGGAATGTTGCTACTAGAAATGGAAAGTTCACAATTGGGAATTGTTGTCTGCTAGGTTTTTTAAGCAGTATTCGAAGTTGTATAAACTTTTTGTTCTAATTCGTTTTCCATTATGGGTAACTTATGACTGAGGAAGGATACAATATATAATTTGTGACACACTTTTGTCATAATAACCTATTTTCATGTGTAAGTACTAGTTGTGTGTGTTTGTCGTGTTGGGATATCCCACTTAAAGTGTAAAAGATGCAGAAGAAACAATGACAGAAAGGAAATCGAAATCATTATCCAAAGGACAATATCTAAACGAGAATACTGGTAAACAAACGGACCCAGAGAGAGACGTACGAACATAAAACACTTAAAAATCAACCGTGGGCAATACGAACTCAAACCAAAAAGATGTGAGTAGTTGACACAAATACTGCTTTTGTCAACAAGGAGACCCCAAATGTATGCAGATAAAGAACAAAACACTGTGTTCTAGTTATGTATACAGTTGTTTATACATGGTCACATACAAACTTAAGTTAATGTACAATCGTAGATGCATATATAAAACACACATACTGTATTTACAGTTGGCAGCACACAATGAAGGTTAATATACAAACATAAAAAAACTGTATACACTGGCACACATACAAACTACTATTGCCACACACATAACAGTCATTCAAAAAATCGGACAAACATGCATTCGCTTATACCAACATAAATTATATTTTTTTACTACAGGTTTATGTGAATATAAATAACTCTACAGATACAATGAAAAATTATTTACGCACACGCGAAGAACAAGAAAATCACACCTGTTTGTAAAGACGTGCGTAAAAAATTAAGAGGTGATATGATTGCACTGATATACAATGGTTTGTCCAGATAGAAATTAACCCTTAGAAATCAGAATAGAAAGTACAAGGTTAACCAACTATTTCAAGCATAACACAAAATATCTTGCTAATATATAACATAGTATTACT